GGGGAAGAGGGACAAGGGGGGAAGCTGGGTGATGGGGGTGACAAGAGGAGGAGAAGAAAAGCACATTGTCCTGAAGAAATAAAACAGGAAGAAAATAATAAAAGTGAATAGAAAGATCTCGAGGGAGGAAAATGGACAGTTGTTGTTGGGGTAGAGGTGTGGGGTTATGGAATTCAGGGGCGCCAAGTTGTTTTGGTTTTCTTTCATTGGAAGTAAGAATCGCGACGTACACCAGACGGGGGCAACTGGCCTGAATGGACCCTCACAACGGTAGTCGGTTTGCCCCACTAGTGCCCTACTACTCCTCTTCCTTTTCCTCGTCGTCTTATTCTCCATCTTCCTTCGTCTTCTCAATCTTTTATTTTCACCCACCTCAACCCCCTTTTTATTTAACCTTTCTTCTTTTTTTTTTACATTTTTTATTATATCTTTTGTGGTTTGCCCCGCGCCTTCGGTCACTTGTTCCCCAGCTCTCTTTATTTTTCGGTATCTCCTCTTCTTTTTTTTTTTCCAACTATCTTCAAATTTTTTACGTCTCTCTCTTCTTTATTTCAAACAGACGCGCTTCCTCGTGTCGCTTGCATTATTGTTGTGGTTTGCCTTTTTTTTTTTCTTTCTTTTCGTTATTCTCACTTGGCACACGCTATTCAACCATTCAGGATGACACTTCTTTCTGAATCGCTTCATCAAGGCCGACGAGGCCTTTGCAAATTTATCCATTTCCTCTCCACCATTTCACATTCAACTGACGATAAATTACACGTCGATGACGTATCAACGAAAAATTTTCATTCATCCCCACGATTTTTTTATTTCATCCCAACCCTAATTCATTAATTCAAATAAATTATCAATAAAAAAATAAAAACACCAATTAATTATTTTTAATTATCAATCTAATCACCACTCCGATATCATCCCTTAATATTAATATCATTATCATATCATGTAATTGTTAATCGAATTATCCCGCGCCTCGACACGTCATCTAGACGTCACCCCCATTTTGTCCCGCGCAAGAAAAAACAGGAAAATGGCGGCCTAAGGAACTCCCACTCCGTCACCCTCCACCGGAGGATGAGAATAAACATCCGTCGACGGAATGCTGTCCCCGATTATACGGTCCTATCGTCAAATAAATAACTTGTAAACATACAGAGCCAATTGTTACTGGTTTATAACAAAGGGTTGGAGTTGTATGGAGCAATGGAGATTCACTCAACCGCTATCGTTTTAAGATTATTCCACCTGGCCGAAAGTTTTCCAGTTTGACACACAATCGAGTGTTGAAGCGATCATTCATAATAATAACCATTATAACATATAAACACGATAGACTAAGTACGGACTGGAGTAATCAGCTTGGGGATGAAATTTGTTATGATAGTTAACGAGCAATTGCCCGCGGTTCATTAATCATTCGTATAATTTCTTTTTTTTTCTCTCTCTCTCTCTCTCTTTTTTTTCATGCCGTGTCTCCATTAGACTATTGTTAATCCAACTATTAATAAATCACCCGTAACCGTTTTTACCCCATTCTAGGTGCTCATCATGTAACTCATTTACAGCCAATTAAACAGTTTAAACGGCATTTTACGAGGGCTTATCGGTACTTACGGCCTTTCGAGTGGCACTAAATTTATTTTTATAATCGTTTGGGATGAAGATATCTGTTTTTATGGTATCGTTTATCCCTGCACCCCCGAAATACGCTAGTACTTGGGGATAAATTAATAGAATAAAGGAATTCAAGGTCTTGTAGGGAATTGTCCTCGCGGTTTTATCGCGGCTCTCTCCAATCTTCTCATCTGCACCGACAGATGGCGATCGCCTAAACAACATTTTTTTTATTCATATTAAATATTAATTAAGATATTTATCACCCGCAACATCCGGTACCGATTGCCCGTCGATTTCCGGTGAACGGGGAATACCTGTCGATTTATTCTCAAATCACAGACTCAATACAAATTTTTTTATTATCCAATGGCAATTTGTTTTATTGTCTTGGATAAAATATCTTTATTAAATTTTTTATTTTATCAAAATCAGGGGTTGAGTAAATTTTGTTTGGAGTATCTCGTGTGGGAATCGGTTATAATGAGAAATAATTTCAGTGGTATGCGAAAAATGTCGCATTGTCCAGTAATTTTGAGAATAATAAATTCGCGAATGCGAATGTCGCGGGTGATTCACGAGATTCTCGCGGGTACCGAGGAGTTTGTAAAAACAAAATGGATGAATCAGAGACAGCATGAGCCAATGGATCGCCAAAGAGGCATTTGTGATTTTTTTTTCTAAAAAAATCCTCATCCCCAAGGGGGTGGCAAAAGGGGGGGTAAAAGTTTTAGGGAGATTGTGGTAAGTTTTAGGGATATCCAGAGTCTCTGGAGTATCTCAAGATGATCCTGGGGCGGTCTGCGTGTGTGGCTCTCCGGATGGTCGAGTCCAGGGAGACGAAGAGACAGGAAATGAGGGAAAAAGAGAGGGAAAAGAGAGAGATATTTGGAGAATCGAGTGTTCACGGTGCACCGCGTCATCGGAGCCTGCAGCCGCCACTCCGCAGGAGCAGATACGCGTTCCCTCCGCCTCCCATACTTTTTTTTTTCCCTCATTCCTCCTCATACCTCCTCATACCTCCTCACCACCCTCACCACCCTCCCCAACCCTCCTCCAGCCCCACCAAACCCACGGGTAAACAAAAACTCGGGTGCAACGTTGTCGGATCTTCCCGCTCCAACGTACCCCAACCAGGGTACCCACAGCCCAACCTCCCATTGGCTACCGCATTTTTCTTTCTATTTTCTTTTCCCTCCATTCTCACCTCTCCCTCATTTTTTCCACTCTCTCTCTCTCTCTCTATTGCCCTCTCATATCCACTCACAACTCCAGGGGATACGTATGTCCTCCTCAAGCCGATTCTAAAACCACCGACGGGAGGGGAAACTCCAGAGGTGGTGGGACATAGCTACGGAGGTGGAGAGAGAGGTGCATAGGAATTCCCTCGGCCT